ATGTCGAAGTCATGTGACTTATCGTTCCTAAGTTATAGCTGATTGGAATTTCGTTTATTTATATATGAGGCCGTGTGAGCAAAAGTGGCCTAACCCAAAATTATTATTTTTGTACTTACCTACTCAAAATAGGTTCAAATGCGATGAATTTGAAAATAAAAGTCGTTCATTCCTTAATATTAATATAACGTACCATTAAATCAAAAAATAAGTGACCTGTATTTTAAAATTTTCAAAAAATTTTATAATTAAAAAAAACGTGCTAAATTAAAAGAGCACCAACCAACTCGTTTTAAATTTCAGTATGTACGTTATAAAATATGTCGTTGTGAAGTGCCCAGATGCTTTTTCGTAATTAAAAAGAAAAAATGAAAAAATTTATTTTAAGTTCCTTCTCATGGTAATTGAACCCGGACCCTCTTGGCAGCAACCAATTGTATCAAGCGTCTTTGCACACTCAGCTATAGCCATACATGTAAATGTGTTTTCAAATGTTGAGTTTGAATCAACAACATATTTTGCTGCGCTGATTTCGTCAGTTCATAAGGTTTGCTCTCTCTCTCTCTCTCTCTGAGATACACCCTTATTCCTAAGTCTTATAGACCAAATAAAATAAGGCTTACATAATCGCTTATAATAAGGCATCACATGGAGTATAGCAACCTTAATGTAAGGCTTATAGATCATGTAAAAAAACGCTGCAAGCAGCGCCGCTAGCGTATTAACCATTCCTTACAACTGCTTACACCATTTTTTGCTGGGTTGTCACCGCTGTGCATGCTTTGTAACAATACTTTCTTAATTACATATGAAAAAGAATCCGAGACGTGTAAAACGCCATCCGTGCAGTGAAAAATGCTTCATTTTAATACGGGCGTATTTGAATTGAATATTTCCATTATACGTAGTGTATGTATAATGGAAATATTCAATTTTGAACACTTTTCACTTCATTTAAATACGAACATTTTTAAACGGTAATTAAATAAAAACTTTTAAGTTTTACAACGCGTTTTTTTCCTCAGTGTACCTTCTACGAATGTAGATAAGATGGGAGCCAAAATCAACTCGCTTTACTAATACGAGTATGAAGAGAAATATGAGACTGGCCAACTACTAATTGCATTTTATACGGTTGACAAACGGGCTCGATTATTTGCATAGACAGCCTTTATTTGTTTTGACTTATGGATTTTCCTCTTTAAAATGCGCATAAGCAGCCGTTCAAATGCACGAGATTTTTGGGAATTAACTCGGACTCGGCTCGACGTTCTGATCATATAAGTATACATTTTAATGGGTCTATCTCTTTTTGTTCTGGTACTTACAAACATCGGACCAAAGTTATAATACCATTTCATGCTCATGAAAGGTATAAAAATATGGAACTTATAAAAAAAGAATCAAAACGAAATAAATGAAAATTCTACTGGCAGTGGGACTCGAACCCACGACCTTGCGGCTGGTTCATCCGCATTACTGCCGTCTGTAAGGGTAAAATTATTATGCGCATATGTGTGCCAGAATATATGCATAAGCTTTGCCGTCTGTCACAGCTTTAAGTGTGTGCACTATTTTCAGTCTTAAAAAGCGGAAACTTGGTCACATGTATGTCTTAAAACGATTCTACCTTTTTTTTATTCCGACTTCATATTTAGTTCGAATCGGCGAAGAATTTTACATGAAAATGATTTATCAAATGCTGCACATGGTTAATTTTTGTCGATGAGTGTGATTGAAAATT